GTCCCATGAACAGCTGGAGCTTTGCAGGCTTCCTTCTAGAAGCTGCCTGGATGCCTGGAGCTGAGTCCCAGCTCCACAAAGCCCTGCAAGGATGAGGTAAGGCCCCTAATGCATGGACTCGCTCCTGTGTGGGGCATCACTGACTCCCTGCATCCCCTTGATGCTGTTGAGATACGTGACCATGCTGGAGCCAGGGGTGCCCTGGCAGAAGGGATCTGTCCCCTGGGCCCTCCCTTGCCGTGGGCACGCAGGGGGCCCTCTCCAGCTGCACAGGGCACATCAGGACAATGGCACACACTGGGAGGCTGGTCACAGCCCATGTCCTTGTCCCTCACCCCTTTTGCTGCTCAGAGGCACTGCTGAAGCTGGAGGGATACAGCTCCATTTAATGGAAACTGAATTTCTGCTTTAGAAAGAAAAGGTGCTGCTTTGCCAAAACACTCAGCATTCCATGCACACATTAACCTGATTATGGGAGGAAGGGGGCCTTTTCCTTGTTTCTGCCCTGCTAATAATTTTGTGTCAGTTCTGATTTGGCTTTCACCTCCCTGCAAGCCCTGGTGTGTTCAGCACCATAGCATCAGGAGGTGCCAGGAACCACCCCATGACTCGGCATGGCAGGGTTTATCCCCACTGGCCTGTTTTCAGCAGAGACCCATCACTTCTGGAGACACGAGTGCATCAGATGGGGCTTCTGGAATCCTATGGGAAAGGGGGGACGCAAGTCTCCAGGAAGCCCAGATGGCCCACGTGTGCAAAGCCCTGCAAAACAGGACATGGAGACCAAACCAGCAAACGTTCAGAAAACAGCAGTGATCCTCAAAGGCATGACTTCAACCCATGTAGATCCAGCCCATCCTTCAGTCCCTGCTCAGCTCACAGTGGGCTGGCCAGGAGCAGCAAAGCCCCAGTGACCTGAGGCCCCTCATCCCTGTGATGTGCTGCAGGCAGCCAGGGGTCCACAGCTCGCAGTTAAGGACAGGTCTGTGCTCGGCCTGGCCAGCAGTGGTTTGGCAGAGAATACCCTCCCCCATGCTGAGAAAAGGCCCTTTTTCGCTGTGACAATTCAATATAATTGAAAGTTTGCTTAGGAAAGAGAGTCTTTTTAACTGAACATGCTCACAGCAGAATCAATATGAATTATATGGCACAGAAGATGCCTAGGGTATTAAAACATTAATTAAGTAACATCATGCTACCATCTAACCAACAGCACAATACCATTTATAGGTACCGCTCTCTTTTCTCTGGGGTGCAGCATGAAGTCTCTCTTCCATCACAGCAGAGGCTGCAGGAGACCCGGAGCTGTGTCACTGCAGCTCACGCTGGTGCCTTCCCCGAGGCAGGATGCTGGGCACAGGTGGATGTGTGGCCGCTGGCCCCACTGGGCACGACGATGGGCCCTGTGGTGTGGGGCTTTGTCTGTCACTTCTGCAGTGCAACCTGCGCTGTGATGGTGGGATGAGGATGACAGCTGTGTGCTGCAGGGGCATGAAGCCACTGGAGCCAGGCAGTGCCCACACTGCTGTAGTTGGATTAGCTTACCATGTTAGCCGGGGGAACTAATGCACCAATTCTGCAATATACCAAAATAGAAAGTCATTGGAGTGAAATCAGTGTCTCCACCACATCCCCTCTGGCAGAGCGTTAATTAAAATGACTCTCTAGTGCTTTAGATCATCAGGTGTACATTGTTAACGAGCTTGGAGGAGAGAATGGGCTCCACATTTGTAGTTTAAGCGCTGATGGACTTAACCCTTCACCACTGCTGGCACAGCCTAAGCCTGGTGGCAGTTTCTCAGAGCATCCATCTGCATTAGAGAAGTCGACTCTCTTAGCAGACTTCAGATGTCATTTAGCAAAGACGTTAACATGGGACCACGCTCAGTTCAGCAGGGACCTGGATGCAGAAGTGACATGGCTGCAGCTGCTGCTGTCATCAGGAGAATGGGTCTGTGCCTGGCCCAAACTCTTCATGGGCTGCTATGACCATGCGGGGTGCAGGACCAGCCGCTCCATGGAACTTGCCCTGTGCTGCAAAACCAGTCTCACTGGAAGTTGGCAGCTGGCAAGGTTTTGGGGTTTCTTTTGGCCTTGGTTTAGTCCTGGTCATCTGCACTTCATGCCCTGGGCGCCCTTAAAAATGCAGCTCTTCTGTCACCTGGTGGCGTGGAAAGTGTGTCCCTGATGCTGCACCCCTGCAGGGATTTGGCAGAACTGGCCACAGTGTTGGGCTGCAGTGAGGGAGGGAAGCCAGTGACCATGGCTGCTGGTGCAGAAATGGCCCCTCCATAGTGCTGACCTGTGTGTCTGCTGATGGTGGCATTGCTGTGCCTGTCTCCAGCCCCCCTGGAGCCAACTGTGCTGCCACGACACGGTGCTGCTTGCAGGGGGCCCAGGAGCAGGATGGCTTAGCCCTGGCATGGGCAGCCCACGCTGCTGTGATGTCCTGCAGAGCTGTGCACCAGTAGCAGGTGCAGGAGAGACCATTTACTGTAGTGACAGGACAAGGGGTAACGGGTTAAAACTTAAACAGGGGAAGTGTAGATTGGATATAAGGAGGAAGTTCTTTACTGTAAAGGTGGTGAGGCACTGGAATGGGTTGCCCAGGGAGGTTGTGAATGCTCCATCCCTGGCAGTGTTCAAGACCAGGTTGGACAGAGCCTTGGGAGGCATGGTTTGGTGTGAGGTGTCCCTGCCCATGGCAGGGGGGCTGGAACTAGACGGTCTTAAGGTCCTTTCCAACCCTAACTATTCTATGATTCTATGATTCTATGACTTCCTGAAGGCACCCTCCATTGCAGCCTCTGAGAGCTGCTGGGCCCTGCCATCTGGTGGGACGTGGCTTGTACCACGGCCTAGCTCCTGCCCCCATCGCCCATGTTTCCCATGGCACCCTTGATGTGTGCTGACGCAGGGCTCATGCACCACTCACCTCCCCTGTACACTCAGGTGGGGTTCCCTGTGGAAAAGCCAGTTGGAGACAGCAGTGAGACCACTGCTTCCTCCTTCGGTGCCAGCATATGCTGGGCATCCAATAGCACTGCATGCCAGCTGTGATGGAACCACCCAAAGCCCCTGCTCATGCTGCCTCGAGGACAGCAACACACAGGCTGCATGAGAGGGAAGAGGCATGCTCCAGATGGGAATCCTGCTCCACATCCATCAGCAAGGTAGGTCTGTAGCAGACACCCCATCACTGCTCTGTTTTGATAACAAAAGTGTATTTTTTGGCCTAGGAAGAGCTAAATCTCTTGTCTTTTAGGTGATGTCAATGCAAGGTCAATCACACTCCTGGTCTCCTCTTACCAGAATCGCAGCATGGAAACCCCTCTTTCTGTTAGAGGTTTGCACAATCTCTACTGGTGCACAGCTCTGAACAGATGGGCTATCACTGAGTTTTTTAGTTTGCAGCTTATGCAACTATCAGAGGCCATTTACACCTTTCTGAGCATTGGAGAGGTGCTTTCTCAAGCATAGCCGTTTTAAACTGGAATTCAACCAGGAATAAATAGCAGCGTTACATAATAAACTTACAAAGATCTGTGAACAACACTGAAGTCATTAACGTGACACAGTGCAAATGCCGGCGGAAGGGTCGTGCTGGTGACCCCATTACTGCCACAGTCTCATCCACTCGCAGGAAATTCAGGATGGATTTTTGCCATTAAAAGATACTCAAATGGCTCAGCGGAAACCCAGAGCCCACTATCCAGGCTCATGGCGGGAGAGCAGGGCAGAACTGGGCAGCCTGGCATGGGGCCTGTTTTGGGGTGCTGAGCTGCAGCACACAGTCAGGTGTGATCATTCCCATCACCAGGTACACGGTCTCTTTCAGAGCTGTGCACTGGGATCGGGGCCCTGCTGCCTTGGTTGGGGTCTGCTGCAGCAGCAGGAGTTACCGGGGCTTGGCAATCTTGACCCACCTTGTTTTAGAAGTCATGCTTCTTTTGAGCCTGAATCTGTCCAAGTGCTGTTTTTTTCTTGCTTTTGTATTCTTTTTTTGTGAAGGTGCATCAGCAGCCTGGTTACTGAACTGACCTGCTTGCCAGTGAGTAACCCAATTAACTAAAGCATGCTTCCATACTCTTGCCATCTGCAAGATTTCCTCCCCAGGACCCCTGCTCCGGCCAGATGACCCTGTGGAGCTCAGGCTCTGCTCCCCAGGGAGCAAGAGGAAGCCACTCACTGTCAGGGAGGCAGCAGTATGGCCAAGGCCGCCCGTACTGAGCAGCCTGCCTGTCCTGCTTACAATGGGCTGCTCTGTTGTTTATTTATTGCTGTAATGAAATAGAGACGAACGGTGGCCTCTGTGGCTCTCTTTCGGATGTGGTCTCCTTATTAATGAATTTCAAGTGTTTTCTGCTGCAAGGGGCAGTTTTTGGTGGCAGAATTGTGTATTTAACACTTGGTACTTCATCAAGGTTTCCTCCTTGCTCAAGAGGCACTGGAAGCAAAGGGAAGAGCAGTGAGTCAGCCACTTACCTTTCTTACCTTCATCTCCTTTTGGTTTGATCAGTAGAAGAAAACAGATGGTGATTTTAGTTCACTTCTGGCTTTCAGGCTTCCAGATGACCTCAGCCCATCAAGGCATCATGCTTTCCCTTTAACCATTAATTACAGCAGCGTGCCCAGAATTGTCACACAATCATTTAGTGAAATTAAAGCACTTGTAATGTCTTTTTCATACACAATGCATCCCAAAGCCATGAATGGATTGCGCCATTTGGCTCATTCCTTCTACTTCAGCATCAATTCGTGGCGTCAGCCCAAGAACCCGCATGTGGGGAGGGACATGGACGCATGTGCTGGCATGTGCTGGTGGGTGCACAAGAGCTGTGGGATGCAGGAGCTCAAGCCGATCCAAGCGGCACGGCACAGCATGGCACGGCACGCACCCACCCCAACATAGACCCTGCACCGCACAAGCGCGGACATCGGAGACGAGAGCTTTTGCTCATTTTTGTCTTTAATGTATCACAATGAGCAGGAAACATACGTGATGAAATATTTCCAAAGGAGTATATTCAATTACCATCTACAGTCAACTCAACTATGACAACAAAGTCTTTTGTGACAAATCCTGTAAAGTTTTGAAAGTAAGTCCCACGTGGTTTTCTGTTTATCTCCATGTATTTTGGTACAGTTTGAGATCAGCATTGTTACAGTAACAAAAAAAAGCTAACAAGACTACATTATAGAAAAACACCAAGAACATCATTTTTGGTTTCACTTGCTCTATTTTTTGTACATTGCAAAGGCTGTTTGTATCCCTCTTTACCACATTAATGCTTTCTGTTCTACCCAACCTCACCCTCCCCCCCAAATAAAAGTGAAAAAAATAGTCAAAGCTTTGTGTTCACAGTGGGCAGTATCTAAGCGCTGACAAACCAACCAACCAACCAAACCATCCATCCAACCAACCAACCCAACTTCTGCTTCTATTTGAAAGTTTAGGTTTTCTTTTTAAAGCAAAATATATTTCCACGGACAGCGTGTGTGCTGGCTTGTGTCAACGCCTGCCTCAGGCATGGGCAGCCCCAACACACCCTACTCTTGATTCTCAATTGTATGAAACTTTGGCCATTTTCACCACTTAGGAAAGCTTTTTACTCAGAATAAAGCAGAAACCTGTTCAATGCCAAGTTCAGAATATTTTCCTTGCGCCCATCCCTGCTCTGACACAGGTTGGAAAGGCCACGTGTGGGCTCTGGGGTGGCACAGGGGCTCCCGAGGCAGGGTGGCCAGGCTTGTGGTAGGGCACGGTGCCAGGGGTGTCCCAGCAGGGCCGGGGGTCCCCACCTTAGGCCAGGGTGGCCAGCAGGGCTGGGGGATGGGTCCTAGCACTGCATGAGGAGGAGGCTACCTCGCACCGAGTGTCTCTAGAAACAGTTAGAAAAAATACGAGGAAATCAATTTATAAAACCTTTTAGTGGTGGGAAGGAGGAGGGGGAAGAAGAAAGAGAGAGAAATTGCACTATGACCAAGCAATATAATTAAAAAAAAAAAAGAAACATAATGAGACAAAACAAAAGGATTTCCAAAAGAGACCCTGTGGGATTGGACAGATAAAGCTAGTGTTAAATTGTTAACTTGTATCACACAGAATCAAAAACAAAACAAACAAAAAATTTCTATATGATACAGATAGAGTAACATACAACAGTTAAATGGCAAAAAATATATATATATATAGATTTCATAGAATTACAAACAAGATAAAATAATGGAAAACAAAAACTGTACAACTTTAGAATTTAAAAAATGTTCATCTCAAACACAGGGAGAAATACAAGAACTTTTGTTAAAAGAAAACAGTTTGTTAAAACAGCAAACTCTTTTTGTGTACTTGTTTCCATTTTTGACACCTTATGCTACAATTGGGTTCTGGCAGGAATATTAGATGGTACTCTCTTTAGTACTGTCTACTTAAAAAAACAATTAAAAAAGGAATTTGCACTGTGCATTAGCCTAGTTAGAAATATGTACAACAGCTCAGGATGTAATCATTCATTGAACTAAACCCAAAACTCCATGAAAATAAAAGTGTCCTGCTAGAAAATGAACCCCATGTTCATCTCTTGAATGCTCCAGTCTCTCGCAGGGTTGACGAGCGGCTTCAGCACAGGGAGGAGAAGCCAGAGGCGATGGGAAGAACCTGCGTTCACGTCTTCGAAGTTCCTTTTTGAAGCAGGAGGATGATGAAGATGATGGGGAGAAGGCTCTTGCACTTCGGAGGAAACGAGGGGTGGGATGGGGGAAAGGAGATTGTTTCTGTTGACATTTGGCTACGGGAGTGAAACAGCATCTATTTGTCTCCAAAACCTACATTTTAGCAGCACAAAGTTTGCCTTTCAAAGTCCGGACCGTACGAGACGCATGCACGCGTCCGCGCATTCCACGAGTGGGGCATGGAGCGGGACGGGGACACCAGTGCCTGCCACGGGAGGGAACTTGGAAAGAGAAACCTGCCTTTTGGTGCACTGGGGTTTCGCTAAGAGTTGTCTCTCTGCTTGCAGAAGAAGCACAGATAACAACCTGGGTACTTTTTTTATTCTTTATTTAAACTTAGACTTGTTTGTTTAAATCAGAAACAAATTCTCAAGTAAAAAGAATCCTTTTTGCTCATTCTGCACCAGTGGTGAAAGGGTATGTCTTTGGATTTTATTTAAAGCATGAATTTTCTTTAGAGAAAAAAAAAAAAAGTAACAAAAACTTCTCTTAAAAGAAGGAACAGAGTGCAGCCTAATTACACAAACAGAAACAAATGCTTATAGTTCAGGAACAGAGTCTTTGAAGCATTTACAAAATGAGGAAAAAAAGAAGGGAAGAAGAAGAAAAAAAAAGGAAAAATGGAAATTAAGAAAGAGATAAGTGCACAAGGGTAACAGACATAGGTAAATCGTATGTATACGCCTTAAAAAGTTTCAAACCCCCAACAAAAAATATTCTGCAAGGGATCCTACTGACCCCCCAAAACCCTTTGAACTTCTTTCTTTAGTTTTTATAAAATAATTATGCAACCACCCTCTAAGAAATGAAGGTAGCGACCATAAGTGGAAGATTACAGGATGGGGGAACGGACAGTAAAGGTACAAAGAGGAGAAAAGCTTAGGTGAGTCAATGGATTGCAATCTACCTGGCTAGGAATGAACAAGACAACATCAAATGAGAAGCCGTCAGCTGGACCATACAAAAGCTAAATGTACACAAAAGGGTTTTTTCTTTTAAATCTACCATACTGCTCAGTTCATTTCCAATGCAACAATCTACTCAACACCAAAAATGGTCATATCTATCATAAATACAGAAAGTCAGTTGTTTTAAAACTTATTTTTTAAGTTCAGAGTCTTCAACACTCTTTGTGTGGGTTTTTTCTCTGAAGAGTGGGAGTGCTTAACTCTTCCCCTTGAAATTCGCTTCAGCAGAAAAGCTACCCTTAAGATCCCCAAAAAAGCTAAAGCAGTTCACATTGTTTTTCTCTTGAATACTTTCTGCCCATTTTAAATAAACAACAATAACAACAAAAAACCCCCCCAGAAACAGCAAATCCCCAATAAACCCCCCCAAGATCCCCCAAGAACAAACAAACCAACAAAAAAGAGAAAGAGAAAAATAAAAATAAAAAGGAAAAGAAAAAAAAAATCCTCTTCTGGAACAAAAACAAAATGAAACAAAAAACCCCCAAAACAAACGAAAGAAATTATATATATATATAAAACAATGATTCTGAAAACAGAACAAAGTGTGAGCGATTGACCTGAGAATAAAAAGACATTACATTTCTTTTTTCTTTTAGCAAGCCATTGGTATCTGAATGCTAAGATAGCAAGAAATTTAAAACTGTAACAAGGTGGGCTGCTTTCCCATACAGTGCGTGCCGGCCTCTGCTGTGCTATCGACGTGGGGCGGTTGAAAAGGGGCAATATACAAGGGACTCAAGCTCCGAAGACAGTGAGGAGACAGCACAGGCTTTTGTCTCCCAGACCAACAGTACCTTCGAAAGGACAAATGTAACAGATTTTTTTTCTTCTTTTTCTTTTTTTTTTTTTTTTTTTTGTAGTTTTATTTTAGTAAAAGGAAAGGAAAAAAAGAAATGTAAAACCCACCGGCATCGTTATATGGGAAAACAACCCACGCTTTTTCTTTTTTTCTTTTTTCTTTTTTTGGTTAGAAGCTTTGGAATTGCAGTTAGTCTATTTTTGAAATTGGTTTGTTATTAACTTTTTTTTTTTTTCATTTAAATTCATTTTCATTGTTCATCTTCAAAGCTTACAATCTGAAGGTGTCCATTCCTACACTAGCTAGACCACTGTCCTTAGGGCAGCCGGGGTCCCGGGGCCCCTCCGCCGGGCTCGCCGGTCCATCTGACTTTTGGCTAAGATCCGTGTCAGACTCCTCCGAATAGTCGTCTGTTGGCATCGAGGGCTGAACCCCTGAGGTGCTGCATGAACTTGAGGTAACCGTTGAAGATGAGGAGAGAGGAGGGAAAGGCGGCGGCGGTGGCTTCCCCGGTGGGGCGCGGGGGGCTGCCGGGGGCCAGGGCTTTCTGGCGGCGTGGGGGGAAGCCGGGGGGGCCCGGGGGGGCGGGGGGCTGTCATTTGAGTGAGCGGCCGACTGCGAGGTAGATGCGGTGCTGGGGTCGGGGGGGCAGGCAGAGTGAGGTAATAGACTGGGGTGCTCTTTGGCGTTTCTTGCTGCTCTTGTGATTGTTCGGTGTTTGTGCGGGGCTGACTCGAGATGCTGACTGAGGGCTTCGTCCCCACACACCGTGCTCTCGCACGCCACGCACTGGTACGAGCCGCTGCCCTGGCTGCTGCCGGTGGGCACGTGAAGCACCATCTCTTGCAGGTTCGCCATGGACTGGCCGAAGAAGCAGAGGGACTTCAGGTGGTCGCTGGCCGCCTCCTGGTCGCTGAAGCCCGCCTGGCACTTGCGGCAGACCAGCTTGTACTGCACCTTCGGGACGATGAAGGGGTCGCAGAGGGAGTCTGCGCCCTTGCCTTCTGCTTCGGGCTCTTCTTGGGGTTTGGGCAGGAGGGGGGACACCTCGCGGGGTGCGTTCTTTTGCTCTTCTTGCTTGGGGGGTTCTTTGGCAGGGTCTTTGTCCGGGGTGGCAGCCCCCGCGGGGACGGGGGTTTGGCTTCCTTTGGGCTGCTGCACTTTCTGCTGCTGCTGCTGCTGCTGCTGCTGCTGCTGCTGCTGCGCCTGCCGTTGCTGCTGCTGCTGCTGCTGCAATGCCTCCTGCAGACTCTGCTGGTATTGCTGGTACTGCTGCAGCAGGGAGCCGGGGGACAGCCCCAGCAGTGCCTGTGACAGCGCTGGGCTGTATGGGAAGAGCCCCTCCATCCCGTACATGGGCTGCAGGTACCCGCTCTGCAGGGTGCCAGGGATCTGCGGGGCATAGTAGGGGGAAAAGCCGGGGACGAAGTAAGGAAGGAACTGGCTCGTTAGCAAGGTGGTGGGGTCTGAATTCAGGGCGGCCTGCAGTGCCTGGAGCTGGGTGGGCTCCACGGCGTACTCCATGGTGGGTAGTGGGGCCGAAAGGGCACCCACCGCTGCCTCCCCCTTCTCCTTCTTGGGCCCTGGCAGGGGCTCCGCCTTCCCCTTGGGTGCCTTCTCCTTCTCTTTTGCCTTCTCACTCTCCTTCTCCTTACGCTGTGGCTGGGGTGTCTGCTGCGGCTGCGGCGTCGTTGCTGGCGGCTGCTGCGGGGCCACGGCTGCGGTGGCTTGTGCCGGGGTGAGCGAGCTCAGTGTGGCCGGCGGCTGCTTATTTGGTAATCCAGAGGTCGGGAGGCCAGGCGAAGGGACGCTTGTGCTGGGCAGACCCATCAGGTTGGGTTTGGGAGAAGTTAAAGCTGCAAGAAGGAGGAGAGAGAGGCAAGCAGTCACTTGGTGCTGGGCAGGCAGAAAGCACAAGGTGTGACAACCACTCCTCTCCCCACTCTCCCAGGCCCTGTGCCGTGGGGATGTGCTTGTCAGTCCTCATCACCAGCAGCACCCCACCAGCGACCCGGTATGCTCAGCAGAGCTGCTGCTTTACTGACCCCTCTGCAATTCCCAAATGATTAATAGCTGATGTCACAGATGGGTGCTTTTCCTACATCTGCAGGAACCGGTCCCTTGGCCAAAGAACTCCAGCAAGAAGGTATGACACTGGATGCCACAACACTAGATACTGTCAATCTCATTACAATCTTCACAGATTAAAAAACCCTGCTCGCAGCAACTGGAGAGGTCCAAACAGACTAAATCTAAGTTATTTTGTCCTTATAAGGATGATGCTCACCAATCCACAAACCTCTGATGCAACCCCTTCCTTCTTTCCAGTGTAAGAGGCTTTGGGTGCTCAGCTTCTGGATAATTATCTCAAAGTTTGTGTGGTATTCGGACAAACCCCAGGGCATGAACACTGTGTTTGGGTGGAATTAAAAGGGTCACGATGCTTCCTCACAAAGGAGATGGATTAAGTGTGGGTGTGAAGTCCACCCATTTTCTCAACAGCAAAAACAGGAAGGGAAGCATGCCATCAGGGCCATCGCTGTGAACAGGGCAGGCAGTGATTCCTGGCAGGGAAATTGAGCTGCTACGGGGCTCCTTCGCCCTGCAAAGGCAGTGTAAAGGGACTCAAACACAGCTAGGGGCTGGGGCCAACAGTCTTCAGGGGCTGGCCTGTTGCAGGACCCACCAGAGGGCTGGGAGCAGGGCGGCCAAGAGCCAAGAGCTCAGCCATGGCTGATGCAAAGCCCATCGGAAACCTGCATCTGCTCCAGATGCAGTATCAAGACAACGGTGATTTGTGACGGTATGAAGTGTATGAAGTGAGCCTCCACACAGCAGCCTTGTAGATTTCAGATAAGGGCATATTATGGATAGATGCCATTGAAACTGATGTACCCTAGCTGAACGCTCCCCAAAAGGTTCAAGTGTGGGAGCAGCAGCTAATTCATAACATTCCTGGATGCACAGCCTTATCTGCTTCGACAGGCTTTGAGCCGAGATGGCCTGACCTTTGGAGCTTTATCTAAAGGCCACAAACAGTCTGTTTGACTTTCTAAATAGCTTAGTCCTGTCGAGGCAGTCACTGATTGCTTTTAACATTCATAGTACGTAGCCCCATCTCCCCAGGACACATACCGGTCTTTGGAGGAAAACAAAAGCAACAATATAGATTGAAGTGCAAAAAAGTAATTTTAGATCTTGTTACAAATTTGGGGTACTAAGTAAACAGCACAGAGCTGTCTATGATAGGCTGACAATACAATTTGCCAAAGAGATTCTCTTTGCCTAGTTCGGGCTTCTGAAACAAGACCTTAGGCAATAACAGAAGTATCACATGAAGAAGTCCTGGCATTGAAAGATGCCCTTGGGATGTGCAGCTAGGATTAGACTAAAGAAGCAAAAATGGGCAGCAGCCCCAAACAGAAGAATTTCTAACAGCAACTGTTTTTAAAAATGGTTTAATTACAATGACCTATCCCTCAACTGTAGTCAAGAATAATTTTACTTTGCTTTGGGGGTCGTGGGAAGACTTGTATAACTATGTGAAAAGCCTCACAGAGGCCCTAACTCCCAGCAGAAAGCTTTTTCAGAGCCCCCAAAATACAGTGAAATTTAACTGTTTTTCATTTGTCAACCAAAGATACTTCAGAGACATGCAGCAATGCAGAAAAAGGTGAACACAGCCAGCTCTAAGGGGACAGAAAGACGTCCGTTTTGACTCATGGGTTTCTGGTGCTCTGTTTCGGGTGTTACACCTGAAGTGTGTTACACCACAGACACACTTCAGGTGGTAGTGATGTGATTTACAGTGAGCAGCTCAGTAGCCAGTCCTGCTGTGAATGCCAGATGAGCTGCTCAAGCTCCATGTAGCTGCTCACACTGGCTACTATCCTTTTGTCTAAGTCTTTGATTTGCTTATCTGAAGATTTACCTCCTGGATGACAAAAGAAGATGGCTATTTTATTAACATGATACAACCATGTTACCTGGCAACATCTGCACTGAATTTTTCAATCTGTTGAAAAAGGAACTTCAGAGTCAGGTTGCTGAATAAAAGCGTAAGAAAGTCTTTTAGGAGACTGAGTTTCCGATTAAGGAGCCAGGAAGATGCTCAGATCCTATTTAGGCTACACACTATGGATTACAACTCATCATTAGCCAATCAGTTCAGTACAATAAGAGAAAGTTATCATTTCAGCAAGCATGATTTTTAAGAATATGTAAAGACAGGCTGCTTTATCAAGCAAAAAAAGAACAAAAAGGAATGTTAATCAGACTTTTTACTTTTTGATAAAAGTCAGCTCAGTCCCACATCTGTATCAGAGACTGTTAAAATCACGTCCTCGATTTCCATTCTTAAACCAGGTGTTTCTCTTGAAGCCACCAACACCTTTCCTCCTGTTTCCGAACCTGGAGAACCTTTGTTCTTGAGAACTCTTGTACCATTATTATTTCTAATAAAGGCAGACCTGTACAGCTGCAGAGCAGAAAACAAGGATGCACAGTGGCATCTGGTGTAACTGCACCAGGCGTTATGGTGCCACAGGCTTTCCAACCCGAGACAGACTAAGCCTGTTCTGGAGACAAGACACTGGACTCAGTTCTTGGTATATCTCTGTAAATGTAAATCAGCCCTGGTGAAAGTTAACTTGAAAAAGGATCATCAGAAGTAACAGGGAAGTCTTCCAAGTGAAAGTAAGCCTCAGAGAGAACATCAATTACTGTTACAAGTGGAATTCAGACACAGGCATGTCCCTGGGATGCCATGGATGTAGCAGGGGGTAAACAAGGCTCTTGGATCATGTTTTCTAGGCCACTGCTAGTCTACTGAGCAGTATCTTCCACCACCAGTGTTTGCTACAAATCTTACACACTCCACGTATTCACCAGGTACACAGAAAAGGTACATCCTCAAAAAAACAAAGTCCATTATCTGGGATTAGGCCACCCAAAGGACTCTGACAAATTTTATTTTTATGAAGTATTGTTGAAAAAATGTTACTAAAATACAAAGTAGATATGACCCATGACTACACCACCGTTTGTTAAGAAGGTACTTTCAGGTTTTATCCAGCCATGACTCAGAAACCAACCCACGGCTGCACTGGGATTCGTCCTGGAGGTCACCATAAGGATATTACATTAAGATGCTGCAGGAGTCTGTCACCAGTGCTACCAGGCACATCACACTTTTGCCTAGAAACAGTTCACAATTAGTGGAAATTTGGGATGGCACTACATAAACTGAATTTAATAGCAAAATGAAAGGTATAATGAACAATGCATGCAGCACATTAGCCCTTTTCCTGTTCCATTTGATAAATCCTTTATTCTTCATTTTTTCAAAGGTGCTTCAGCATTTTTAGTCTGTGCTAAGGAAAAAGAGATATACAAAATGTCTACATCTTGTTCTATTTCAGACTTGGCTAGAAAACCCAAATTCAGGAATTAAAAGATAAAATACCTATTGCTCATTTGATGTCAAATCTACTCCACTAAAGGGCCAGGTATCAGCCATTCCTCAAGAGAACGTCTGCTTGTGCTAAAGATGTGTCAAGTTGTGTCTCTGAGCAGTGTGATAATATCCATACCCACCTGTGTTGGATGGAGTGAAGCCTGGTAAGGATGGGCTGTTGAGGCCTGGGAGTAAGACTGGAGGGATGCCCTGTAGTGCTGGGTATGCAGCAGGAAGGTTAAGAGCTTGCAGAGGGGTGTTATCAAACATGCCCTGCTGTTGAGCTGCCAGACCAAGAACCTCATTGGCTTTTTTGATCCGGTCCAGCTCCTGTTGAGCCATCAACTGACGTACAGTAGCTGGGTCAAAATACTCCTTTTCCTTATCCAACTGGCTTCCAATGGTTTCTTTAACTTTGGAGATATGCTGTTGAGAGAAGATATGGTCACGTACAGACAGTCGAGCGCTGTACTTGATGCCACACAAAGTGCACTCTGTTTTGGGTCCCTCGTAACTTGTTTGGTTTATACCAAAATGCTTGGCCATGCTGAGTTTGGACTTCTTCTCCTTTGCTCTAGCATTCTGGAACCAGACCTGAACAACTCTCTTTGGCAGTCCAATGTCATTGCCCAGGACCTCACACTCCAGCATGGTAGGTGTCCTGTAGTCATTAAAGCATGACTTAAGAACTTTTAGCTGGAGATTAGTCATCTGAGTGCGAAAGCGTTTCTGCCCAGGCCGATCACCACTCTCTCCAGACTTGCTGGCTGAACCACTTGCACCAGGGTTGGGTGAGCAGGGGTCTGCAAGGCTGGATGTTTCACTATAGTCCACAGTACCTTCATTATCATACTCCTTGCTGTAAAAGCTGGGAGCTGGGCTGACCAGGCCAGAAGACAGACGATCTTCATATTCAGACATTGCTATCATGGCAGCTTTTGTGAGACCTTCACTGGGTCCCGATGTTGATTTGGTTTCGGTTGCAATCCCTGTGGCACTATCATTGTCTGCATTCCCTTCATCTCCTGTTGTAGTGTCTGTGATTGCAGTGTTGACAGAAGAGCAGTCATCATTGTCCAGCTTTGTTTGGTCAAAGCTCAGATTGACTGAGGACATGGAGGGACTCTCAAAGTCTTCCATCCCTTCAACCTTAATGGAGGATGGACTCAGCAGAGTTCGAGGTGACAGTTCCATGCTCTTGTTCACTGGGGAGAGAGGAACAGTATGTCCATCACTGCTTGTTGGTGGCATGTGGGAAAAGCTTCCTCCATCAAAGATATCTCCCTTCATTTGCAGTCCCCCATCACAATCCAAGAGCATAGCAGACAATGTCAAGTTGTACCCAGCTCTCTTGGCCTCATGCCAGTGACGGGATCGGATATGAGCTTCCAGAGCTGTCTTTGCTTTAAAGAGAGCTCGGCAGAAAGGACACCGTCTATGGGCTTGGGCAGGCCCTACGGCTCTGAACTGCCCCTTCCTTTCCCGTGCACGCGTGTTCTGAAACCAAACTTGAACCACGCGTTTCTTCAAGCCCACTTCATGAGCAATGTGATCCAACATTTTCCGCGTTGGGTTGGAGTCGAGCAAGTATTTCTGATAAAGAATTTCCAGCTGCTCTGGGGTAATCGTAGTCCTTAGACGTTTATCCCTTTGTGGTTCTTCTCCTCCAGTCCCACTGTCATTTTCTCCAGGACTTGCACTGGCCTTTTCCTCCAGCTTTCTCTTCAGTGTGTTCATTGTGGATGTTGGAGTTGATGGTGAAGTGGCTGAGCTTGCTGGAATTTGTGGTAATGCCCCGGATAGCAGCTGGCTTGCAAGTAGTGGATTACTGGGATCAAAAAGCATGAACGGCATATCCAGCGTTCTGTCCAGGAATGGGGGGTGGATAAACTGGTTCTGTGCGCTCAGAAAATGAAGCTGCTGATGCTCCTGCCAATGCTCAAATGAAGGAAATGCCAGCTTACACTGGTCACACTGGTATGGGATTAGCTGAGGAGGTAGGTTTGCCAGCTGTTGAGGGGTGGATGTGTGAATGGGTTTGAGGGAGAGATGCGAGAGCTGAGATGGACTTGGGCTTGACTGTGACAAGGAGCACTGAGGGGGCTGAGGAGGGGGAGGTGGCTGTTGCAATGAAGAAGGGGAGGATAACTGTGAAATCTTTTGGTGTGCTGAACTTGTCTTTTGTTCTCCTTGGTCCTGTTGCTGTTGAGACTCTTGCTTTGGTTGCACTTGCTTCTCTTGAGTTTGGTTTTGCTGTGTACTTGGAGGTTCAGGCTGCTTTGGTTTCTCTTCTGTAGCTTCTACTTTAGAACTATAGGTGGAGGAATCATCTGCCTCTGCTGTGAGCTGCAGAAAAGCTGAGGAGGTTGCATTGGCTGAAGATGTAGGTGTGCTGTAAGCTTGTGAGGGCATTGGTGTGCTGCAGGAGGAACTGGTTGGAGTTAAGAGCTCCATTGCATCCATAGAGTCTTCATTCTGGCTATCATCCTGTCCATCCTCATCCTCGTCTTTGTAACAAAGCTTTTTCTGGTGTTTAATGAGATCAAAAATGCGCTGAAATACGAGACTGCACTTTTTGCACTGGTAGTTCAAGTTGCTTGTTCTAATATACCTGTCATTTGTAAGCTCCCGTCGTTCCCCATCTTTGCCTTCTCCCTGATTCTCGTAGTTTTTCCTAGCCTTCTGACGGGCATTCTGAAACCACACCACTATAACACGTGTTGGGAGGTTCAGCAAGTTAGAAAGCTGCTCAAATTCATCATCCTTTGGATAAGCATTGGCATCAAAGAAGTCCTGCAGGACTCTGAGCTGGTAGTCAGTAAAGCGTGTCCGGGAGGACCGCTTGCTTCCCCAGTACTCCTGCTTTTGAGGTTCTGGAGAAGGAGGCCGTGAGTCTATCTTCAGTTCTTCTAGGCTGGTAATGGGAGGATTACTGAAATTGTATGGGGAATCCTTGTTGCGCTGGCGTTCTTTGAAAAGAGTGTTTCTGAACCAGTGCTTGATCACTTTCTGGGGCAGTCCAGATTTGTCCGCCATCTCTTTGATCTGTTCCTCACTCGGGGAATTGTTAATATCGAAATACTGCCGAAGGACTCTGAGTTGGTCGTCGGTGATCCGCGTCCGTGGCCTCTTGTTCTGCTGCTGCTGGAGAAGGCTAGGGTTGAGCTGATGCTGGTACAACTGGGCCAAGTCGGCAGGCAGAGGGTCTACAGGACCCAGCTGGGGTGGCAGCTGCGCAGGTAATGTCTGTAGTGGCATGGTTTGCATCATCAGTGGTGAAAAGATGGGGAGCTCCATTGGCATGGAGAGCTGGGTGAGCGGCACAGATGTCTGGGCTGGTGCGATCGTAGGAGAGGTAATCGGTGGGGCAGACGTAGGGATGGTAGGAGTTGAAGCCGGCTGAGGAGGTGCTGGAGGAAGTGGAGGTGGTGGCGGAGGAGGTGGTGGTGGTGGCTCTGGTGTCTGAGGCCGCAGTGGGTACAGTTTGTCATAGTGTTCTCTGTATTGTTTGGCAAATCTCTCTAACTGCTTGAAGGGAAAGTAATGTTGGTGAACATGCTCTTGGTGGCTCTTCAGGATGAGGATGTTTGAAAAGAATTTGCCACATGTGTCACACTCGAGCTTTTCCAAGTTCTCACCTTGCTCTGTCTTCCCATTTTTCTTCTGCACCTTCTGCTTGTTCTCATTATACTGAATGACAAGCTCAAAGCCAAAGTTTTCCAGCAAGGCTTTTGTGGCATTCCCTCTTGCATCAGAGGCAATGCGTGGCGGCAGTAAGGAAGGCTCTGAACTACTGCCTGGTACAAAGTCCTTCTTTTCTTTGGGCTTTAGGTTATCAGGTAGAGACTCTTTAGATGCTACACTACTGTCTCCCCTCTCTGCACTTTCCCTTTCCCTTGGGGTTTCTTTTTCTTTCTCCTTCAGTACGGATTTATTCTTCTTCTCAGGGTGCTGGCTCTTCTGTATAAGGACGGAGTGAGGTTGTGACAAGGAGAGCTGGCCTTGCTGCTGCTGTAAGAGCTGTGGATGGCTCTGCTGAGGGATCTGAACTTGAGCCTTCAGGTCCTCCAGCAAACTCTGACCTGTACCAGTCAATGTCAGCGCACCACTGGTGACAGGCAAACTAACTTCTGGATTGAGCTGGAACTCGGCACTAGGGATGTAGAAAGGAAACAAAAGATGCTGCTGCTGCTGAAGCTGCAGAAGGGTCTCAGTGGTCATTGGAAAGTGCGGCAAAAGTGCTGGGTTGAAGAGCTGGGACTGCAGAAGAGCAGCCTGCTGCTGCAGTTCTTGTTGCAGATGGGCCTGGACTTGGGCCTGGGCCTGGGCCAGGGTTTGAGCTTGCTGCTGCTGCTGCTGTTGCTGCTGCTGCTGCTGCTGCTGCCTCGATGCAATCATGTCTGCCAACTTCTTTCGGTTTACCTCTTTGGGCTCCGAAGCAGAGGAGCTACTAGCGCTTACAGGGTTACCTAATGTAGGAATTCCCATGTTGTCACTGGCTACCTGGTTGAGCAGGCTGGGAATGGGAACTGGGCCCGAATTACTCGTGTTGGTGGCTGTAAAAGTATTACTGTTGGTAGCGTTCACTGGACTTGGTGTGGATGAACCCAAAGAAAGACTGCTGCTACTGCTGCTGCCAGCTCCATTACTGCTGCCGCTGCCCCCAGCCGCTTCCAGTTTGGCAGCGCGAGCCTTGGTTTGGTGCAGGACAGACCTCATATGGATCTCCAAGGTTGAGCTCTGACTGTAGGCCACATTGCAGGTGTTACACTTAAAAGGCTTGTTGTCTGGGCTGCTGGTCGGTTCAGGCTGCCCTGTAGCAGACTCTTGGAGGGCTCTTTTCAGTTTATGCAGGTGAGAAACTGAATTGTAATGGACCAGGAGAATGTTCTTTTGCGTGAAAGACTCCTTGCAGACTGTGCACTTGTACGGGCGAGACGGATCTAGGAATTTCTCCATAGTGAAGTTAGGGCCCTTTCTGAAGGGTAAGGCCCTTTTTGGTTCTGAGCCAGAGTCCTCTTGCACTGACCCTGAATCACTACCTGTTGGGCTCTGCTTATCTTCCAAGTCGCTCTCCTCCTCCTTATCTTCCTCAACTATGATAGTGTGATCTTCTGCAAGCGAAGGATCACCCATCGCAAGGAGGTCTCCATTGACCAAGAGACCACCATAGAGCTGCTGAATGTCAGCCTCACTCAGCTCCAGATGGCTGGTTTCCAGGTGCTTCTTCAGGGCCTGGAAGGTTCGGAAGCTGCGTTGGCAGAGGCAGCACATGGTGGCTGCCCGGATGACATGGTACTGGGAATGAAGCTGCAGCTTCTCAATGGTTTTGAAAGCCAGGCTGCACTGGTTACAGCGGTACTTGTAGACGTGGCGATCGGACACCGGCAGCTGAGGCCGCTTTGCATGGACCTCATTGAAGTGTGTCTGCAGGGCTGCCGAGCTCTTGAACACCTGGTTGCAGCCTTTCTTCCAGCAGAGGAAGCTGGAGTCCTCCCTGGCAGAGCTTGGATCGGCCAGAACCGGCTTGGGATCTCCGGTGTGCTCTGTGCTGTCCAATGGCAGAAGACCCTTTCCTGAGTCCTCAGGGATCTCTGTGAAGACAGAACAAGAGCAAACCTGACAATTACACCAGCACAGAGGGGCAGATCAATGCCCTCTTTTTGTCCTTAATAAGTCCATGTGTTTTCTCTGCAATGTGATAGGTATTTCTAACACTTCTCTATCTTCATTCATTTATTTTAATAACAGCCCATTATCCTCATCATGGCCCATTGCATAAACCTACACAATTTACTTTGCTTCGCCCACTATGAATATGTGGAAATTGTTCACACACACACACATTTTCTTAGTGAATTTATCACCTTTAATGCTTCCTTTTAAGTGAAGGACATTCAGCCACCTGTGCATGTTTGCTGTTTTGCTTTGATGTTCTGCCTATTTTCCAATAAGAAAGTTCATCAGACTGAATGCAGTATTTGGGTCTTGGAACTTCCAAAGCTAGAAACAAGAGGAATGAAATGTGGGTCCTTCTGGCAGCAGCTCAAAATGTGCTGTCTGATGGAAGATGGGAGAAGAAGGAACAACCACTCAGTGCACTGCCACTTACCCAGGCTCTAAGAGCACAGTCCTGCTGGAGAAAACTCTGATATAGGTAGAGGCCAAAAAAAGATCCCCTTGCCCAGGACAGCATTAGCTACCCTGGGTGTGCCAGTGCTGCCTCACCAGCATCACTGCCTCAGGGCTGTCTGTCTGAGAGGAAATGACACTGTGTTCATTCCCTGATTCCTTACAGACCTTCCAGGAGGGCACAGAAGGAAGACAGGCACTGCTCCCCTGCCAAGTCCGACACCAGACTCTTCTCCCCATGCAGAGCTATGTTCTTGGGATGCTCTCATATCACACAACAAAGCCAGGACTAAATAGCCATGGATTTACAGCCATGCTTACGGAACGCAGCATGGCAATGAAAAAGGCTGAGATTTGGGCTGGAGAAGGACTTCAGCAGTTCAAAGCTCCTCAGACAGTATGCCCAGAGACTGTACTGAGCTGTGATGGCAGCAGAGCAGGTACAGCAGATACAGCAGCACAGTCTCCAGCCAGCAGCTGCCACCTTTGGCATTTCTATTTGGATCCCCTCAGCCCTCCACCACCTTTGCTTTTCACCACTCACATCTGGTCCTTCCTTTGCAAGGATTCAACACCACTTCTATATGAATGGCCACACTGGTGACCTGTGTTCCTCAGCTCTGAGCTGCCCTGCCATGGGAACTCCTGGGGCACCAGACTGTTTGTGGCACAGATGAAGGGAGACGGCCCTGCTGGGAACTGATCCACTGCGGTTTTCAGGAGACAGCTGGGCATATGAAGTTCATCCATGTGAAGGCATCCCCAGATACAACCCCTGATCAGGTGATGGAAGCTGAGGGAGTGGTGGGACTCATGGACCTCAGTGACCAGCACTCACCATGCTGCTTCCCCAGCTCCTCCGCAGCGGAGTTCCCATCCTTTTCTGGAGCGGCTGCTGGGAGAAACATACTGCTGGGCATCATCACCTCAGGTGTTGTCACCTGGAGAAAGGGAAGAAAGGATGTGGGGAGAAGAGAAACACAGGAAAATATTTTACACATCTTCACTGGCAAAATTAGACACCACAATTGTAAAGTCAGAGGCGTCACTTTTCATGGCTCACTGAAGACTCACATTTATTAGACAAAGCTCCCATCAGTCAAAAGTGTTTCTACAGTTACATTCTGGACATAATTAGCAGTGCACACTTGAAGAATAATCTTATTATTAATATTTTTCCTTTATGTAGAATTCAGACTTTGATCACTGACAATGTTTTGTCATGGGCTGTGAAACTTCTTGTGCAACCAATTAGGTAGATAAGTTGAAAGGCCCACCTTAAGCTGCTGAAAACATAATAAGGCCCCTAATTAAATCATACCTCGTAAAGTACACTGTAATCTTGAACTAGGGAGCATTGCAGCACTGTTTTCAAAGTGTATCCATGCAGGAAAAGGAGGGGCATGAGAAAGAAAAGTACAAATAAGGAGAGAGGTGACAAAGGAAAGGATGAATAAGAAAAGACTAAAAAGAAAGCAAATTGTCTGCCAACTGCAAAGCTTTTGGTACCCTGTTCCTTGCTCTGACTGATGTGCTCCCTTCACCTCTCTTCAGGTGTTTGTCTATAACCTGCACCACCGTAACCAGCACAGTGCTTGAACATCAACAGTTTCAAAGAGCTGGAGAGTGCTTCAACTGGAGATGCTCTTTGAAAGAGTCAAATGCACATGCTCATCTTCTTCTGGAAAACTGTTTCTTTGGGGGTACCCAGTCACACACAGAACATACAAAATACCTCACCAGCAATTTGCACATGGTTGGCACTGGACACAAGACAGTATGTAACCTTCTGAACATCCAGACCAGTACCTGGCACCACCTGAAAAGCTGCCCACAGCCCTTCTCCCAGAGCAGCAACTGCACAGACAGACCCACGCCACCATCACCATCTGCGCTGTATTCCAGTGCAGGTCTGTCAGCACTGGTTAGATGCCTGTGGCAAGTGAAGACATCTCTACAGCTTGGAGTGGCTGCACGCCTCACCCCACTGATGCTCAGGGAGCACTGTCCTTTCACCAGGGCTGTGGTACTTGAAGGAACAGGAACCAACACTGAGTTGCAATGCTTGTGGTGCTTCTGCTCCCAGCCTCTGGCTGCTGGGGAAGTAAGGCATAAATAAACCTTCCTAAATGGGTATGTATGCTAGCAAAACACATCACTCCATCCTTCTGTCAGAGGGCATTTGAACCTTGGACTACAGAAGAGAGTGAAGCTGTTACCTGCACATCGTTTACCTTGCTTTCTGCAAAGTCAAGGACCACAAGGCTCGGACTGAACCAAATGAGGTATTAGCAAATCTGTGGTGAAGCTGAAGGTAAACCTATGTGCAGGACATGAAATCTTCCTTATCTATACACGTGTCAAATCCAAGCAAACACAGACTAGACCTTGGCTTCATTAAGCGAACGGAAGCAAAACCAGTCCATGAAAAACCTCAGACACAGATGCTGGTGTAGAGGGGTTGCAGGCATCTGACCCCTGATGGGGAGGGGTGCTGAGCTCCCCTCTTTACTGGGGCAACTGGTGCACAGGGGTGAGCACTAGGTCTCACTGGTGCCTGCAGGAAGAGCAGCTGACCCTGATAAATCACTGGGAGGGAAGCTGAGCACACCATGTTCATTCCACCTTTTGCTCTAAGCAGGAGCATCTGATGGCTGTGGGTGGTGGGTTGGAAGACGTGAAAGGTCACCAGTTAATTCCTGGTAGCAGGGCTCGGAGGAGGGGGACAAGCAGGACGTAGAGGGGGGAAGGCGAGAGGGAGACGTCCCTCTCAGCTTTATCAGCAGGGAGAGCGCTTTCCTAGGATCTTTAGGAATTACAAAAAATAAATCAGGAGAAATTAAAAAAAACCCCAACAGAGTAGAAAAAGAATAAAATTATCTAACACCTCAGCTGCACATCATTATAGAAACTGTGGGCTTTTTATACGTATTACAGTAAGGCAGCCATCCCCACTACCACACTCAGTACGATGGATCAGTAATTGTTTTCATACACTTTAATTAGAAAAACTCAGATGGCTATGAATAATAATGGAAAAGAGAGACTTTTGCACTTGAAAGGTTGAAGTCAATCAAGTGTGAATGACGGCAAAAAAGAAAAAAAAAAGACACCAATTCATCAGGCCTCTGTTGTCTCGCCGTGTCTTTAATCATAATTCCTGATTGGGATTCAAGAAGGCAGTAAGCAGCGGTTCTTTGTCTGCCTTCACCTTCCGTCAATTAACTCTCCCCGAAATATAATCATCAACCTCACATGCTCCTCTGCATCTTAATCTGGGGCTCCAAACCAGTAAGTCCTGCCCTATATGTGTTTAAGTAATTACCTTTATCTACCTGCATCTCCATAGCCACAGTTCCCACCCTACTTCTACCCCTCCCTCCACAATAAAAAAGGGGGAAAAAAAAAAGGTGGGAAGAAGAAAAGAGGCTGTGGTGCCCTGAATTGCTACAGGCACAAAATCCCCAAAGGCAAACAGAGAAAAGCCTTTGAAAAAAGTGCAGGAAACTAGAAATTCTGGATATGGATGTAGGGCAACTGCAGGCAGTCCAGCCAGCCACAGAGAGCTGGCCCTCTGTGAAACCTTGAAAACAAGGCACTGGTCTTGCTTCAGCAACTAGATCACGTCAGTCCTCTATCCGCTAAGCACCATTCAGGCTTCTCCTCAAAGTGCTGCCCGTTCTATGCCATTGTTTAGGGCAGAACGACTCTGTGTCTTTATCCCCACAACCACCCTTAAGCACATAGCACAAATAGGAACAGTGACAAGAGGCTGCCGCACATCTCAATCGTTCTACATTTACAGTGGATTCTAGACTGCCTATTTTGAACTGTTTGTCCTTTTACACTTCAAACCCATCCACGGATACACCATTTCCTTGTACGTGCAGAAAATGTCTTGCACATCGTGGCTGTTTTTAATATAAACAAATGCTGTGAGTACTAGGGGACAGGAAGGTTTAGCAGACCACGGCCACCAGCAGATAAACAGGGAGCAGTGTTCTACAACATAGCATTTTCTACTTCACATGTATTTAAATGGCATTAACTGTTCTGGTGATAGAGGGGAACGTCTTTATCTTGAGCACAGCATGTGTCAGTGCATGCGGTTGTTCAGTGCTCTCTACCTCCCTCTCACCTGAGCAGACAACACCTGGCATGAAATCCTGGCATTCTCCATCCCCCTGTTTCAGCGTCTCTTCAACGCGGTTTCCCAATGGCAATGTGTCAATCACTGTGAATTGTTATTAAAAAAACAGCCCTACAGATGCAAGTTCAACAAATGTGACTGCCTTCTTTTCCTCCTCCTGCACACACTTGTTTTGCTCTAAAATTAAACTGTATCCCCTTTGCAGTGAAAAGAGCAAAGGAGGGGGAAGTCTGTGCCAGAGATTGGCAGTCCCTCCTGTGCCCCACTTTGAAACATCTCCCCTTGGTCTGTACTGGAGATGGGGATGCTGGCTAGGCTACCTCCCTCTAGAGCAGACCACAGAGAAGCCAATTACCTGCCCTAGATGGGAAGTTATTGAGAAAAGCCTCTCTGTTTCCAAGGACCCTCCTTTTCTATGGAATTCAGATCCCCTTAAGGAGACAAAATTCCTTTATGATGACAAGATTCAGTGACACACATGGGCACCCCAGTTTGGTGGCCATTTCTATACACAATGTGGTCCACTGACTGACTGTACAAAACACCCAAGGGTGGACATGCCATGTCCCCAGCTCCCCTTCCCCACAAGGACCCCAGCAGATCACACATGTCCTTACACCTACAGACCTGTCACCAGTCTGGAGAAAAACCTTCAGGTCCACTCCTCACCTGAGACAACCTACAGCAGTGACATGTGTGGCTCCTGCCACTACTGACTCTACCAGATCTTTAAGATGATGAACTGCAGAACTGTTATCAGCATTGGCTGGAGGCTCTGAGTTGAACCCCCTCCTGTGCTGGCCCTGGCGGCGTGACACAAGGATATTCCTGGCACGTTCAGTGAATTAATCTTGGACAGGGTGAATAGCCAGCTCCCCCTGTGCACTCGATCTGCCTGCTCTGACCTTCCTCTGCACTGACTGACCAAAGGTGTGGATAGTCTATGCAGTTCCTCTGGAAATGCCCCACACTACTGATATCATGCAGCTTTGAAAAGCAAATCTCTCAAAGGGGTCTGAGGAGATACATTACTATCCCTATGTCCATGCAACCAGGGGGAAACACACATGCAATGCAAGGTTCCCGAACCAGACAAAGGAGGTAATTTCCATTACAAAGAGAGAGAGAGGGTGCTGGAGTGAAAAGCTTCATTAGACTCAGAGAAGCAAAGCGATGGCAGTATACCAAGGTCACTTCTAATTTAGACCATCTAATTGGCAAACATGGCTCCAAATGGCTATCATCTCACAGGGCTCAGAATTAATGAAGCCCGATTATTTTCATTACCTTCATCCTAGATGGAGAATGAGACAGAGACTGAGAGGGAAAGGGGGGAGTGAGAGGGGGTGAGAAGGAGGGAGAGAGAAAAATTGAATGACAGCAGAAGGGAGAGAGCAGTAAGAAAAGACAATAGGAAAGAGGGAAAAAATGTACAGATGGCAAGAGGGAGAAGTAAGGATGGCAGAGACTGGCAAGAATTACTCTTAAGGCCAAGGGAGAGCAGAAAAAGACGGAAAGATGGCTGAAACACTGGGAATATGTCCTAAGCCAAGGAAGAGAAAACTGACAACAGAAATGATGGGAGAGGAATGTGCAGAAGGATAAAGCTGGCTGTGGGAGGAGGGAGAGCTCCCCGCTCCCGGAGGCTCCTGGGAAGCTCTCCCTTCTCCTGGCTCAAGCCCATCAGTCTTGTCAATCGACTGTGCCGACGAACTGCACTTCACCCTCATTAAGGGGCTCTCTGCTGAAGCGGTGCAGGCCCCAGATTAGCCAAAAGGCTGTTATGTGGAAAGATAGCGATTACACCCGCTTGGAGCGGCTACAGTGCCACATGAAATGAACTTGACCACCTCCATTCACCAGTCCCACGGAAGGGAAGCTGCAGGAAATGGAGGGTGTTGGGAGCCCCTGCCCCATGGTGCACCCGGGGCTCCACACCACCTGGGAGCATTTCATGTGGCTCACCACTCTCTGCAGCCCCAGTCCCAGCGGCCGGGCCAGCGGGGAGGACTTGGCATCCCATGGGACAGCCAGCCTGGCTGCTTGCTGATACGAAAGGATGGAGCCTGGAACAGCCAGCTCTGGGATGCTGAGCATAAGCAAGCAGCGTTACTATGGCAACAGACATATTAGACACTGCAGGTTCCTGAAAGGCGTCTGATAAGGTATTATTAACTGGAGCCTCCTCCAAACACCCAGCGCAAAGATGCTGTGTCGAAAGGGACCTGTCTCCCATTTACTGGACTGCAATTCCCTCATGGTGGCACCAAGACCCAATTCACATGTCAGACTGAGACAGGAATCTCAACTAAAATGAGCAAATTAGGAACCTTTCATTTTGCCACATGACTTCATGAAGCCATAGTGATTTCAAAATATTTGTCATTTAATGCAAAAAAGAACCACCTTCTCAACCTACATGCTATTTGACTTGAAGCAAGAAAAGCAATCTTCCTCCCCATATATATTTCTAGGTACCAAAGAGAACAGCTGCCCAGGGCCAGTGGCAACGGCCAGGTGGAAAAACAGGAACGAGCAGGAGGATGATCTTCATGGCTAAGCCAGACTCTACAGTTCTCATCGAAGTCCTGTGCTCCACAGCAGCGGGATGAGGCTCTGCTCCAGCTCAGCAGATGGCTCACCTATTAGGACTGTCCTCCACAGAACTACAGCTACGTTGGACACATCCTCTGTGGAGTGTCCGCAGCTCCTGAGTGCTTGCCCTGTATCCTGCAGGACACACAGCGCTCAGGCAGAGAAGATGGATCAGCCCAATTGCACCTGTCCCAGACTGTGTTCTGCCAACAGCCCAGCTCAGAGACACACCATTTCACACCAGAGTAACACACCCCCTTAGGAAACTGGTTACACTTGCTGGCCTAAGAAATGGGCTCAGTTTCTGTCCACTGCTCTTAAAAGGCCAAGATGTCTTCCATCAATTTTGTTAGAAGCTAGTAAGATTTGTTCAAGTCCTCAGAAGGTATTTACAGACTAAGCACCATGAATCAAATGGGATGCAGATTGCAGAGACTGAGGTCGTTGTGCTGGGACAGCTCCTTGATCCAGATACATGAGTGGTGGGCTGAGTTGAGCTGTGCCCTGCTCGAGCCTGTGGGCATGGCCAGTTCACAGACTTAGTGATCTGCTGGTGCTCTTCTTCCCTATCTTCCTGTATTTTGTTACTTCCGTATACTCCCTGTATTTGCTGGGGCCTGTCAGCCTGGGTTTTTTAATGGGTTGTATGATGTGGCATCTACCTGGGGCATGTTCGGTTCTCACGGTTGGTTGGGAGTGCTCAGTCAAGAGGTGGTCACCACCAGCCCCGGCAGCCCACAGGGTGCAGGACACCTCAGCAGGGCCCAGACAGAGGGCAGGACAGTGAGAGGACAGGGAGCTGGGAAAGTAAAGCAGGCAGATAAAAAGCATAAAGGCATTTGAGAAGGAGCCGCAGAAGAACTGGGAGAGTAATAGAAAGAAAAGATAAGAGAACTGTAAGAAATGCTGGGCAATGCTGCATATGCTTGCTCAGATGATGTCACAGGAGGGGAGTTGATAAAGAACACTAGTACTACGACAGACATGGTGTTATTCACCTCCACTGTCAGGAACTGGCAAAGAAGGGGGAAAACAAGAAACAGGGTGCAAAAAAAGAAACCACTTCTTTATATAAAATAAACACTTATTTTATATACTTGCTGACAGGTTCTTAAATGCAAACACAATCTTGCCTCGAAGATTATACCAAACAAATAACAGCACAAAAAACTTACAATACATTCCATTTGTGAATTTAGAAGGGTTTTTGAAAATACGTCTTTTCAATTCTACCTGTATCTTGAACTGAGACAAGCAAATGGAAAGGCGCACTCATGTGAAACATATGAAAAGGGAATTAATGAAAGAAATGTTCTGGGACTCAGAATGTTATCTACAGAAGTAAGTGCCTGAGTGCTGGAGAGTGCAGTAACCCGTTACAAGCACTTCGGCACCACGACTGCATGTACTAGTCCACAGAAGAGGTCCAGTGGCTCCACGTGTACACCAGCAGCAGAGAGGGATGCTGGGTCAGTGACAGTGTTTGAAGCCAGAGCACAAACCCAGGTCTCAAAAATGAGAACTTGAACACTGCACTGTTAATTTGCTACTTCTAACCAAGCACTAGCTCTCAAGTCAGATGGATTTCAATTCCTAGGAGACAGTGTTGGAGAAGTATTCCCATGCTAGGTGCCAAAACAAGGAGGCAGGGCACAAGAAGAGCCTGGTGCAAACATACTTGCGCTGAACCATGATCTGCCATCTGAACCTTCTGCTGCCCATTGGAAGTGCCACAAGCAATAGCTATCAACAACCCATACAGAAACACAAGGTTGTTTGACAAACAGCTCCGGAAGAAGGGTTGTTACAAGTTTTGAGCTCTACATGAAGACAGATCACTTTAGGGAACTTTCACTCCACACTTCAGCGGCTAACTTCCTACTCCAGAGAATTTTAAATGCCTACACTTAGATTCTGAGTTCAAACCAGGCATCTACAAACATTTTAAAAACAGCACTTGAAACAGTAGGTCTAGTATTCAAAAGTCCCTTAAGGTTCCAGTTCCCCTGGGCCAATGGCAGTGTATGCCTTGCTTGTTCAGCTTACCCTGAAAGGGAATTGTTACACCACAAACCCATGGTAATATTGGATGGAGCAACTCCTCACGTACCCGGCTCATCTCACACAGCTGTAACAATGATCTTCATTAAGTGAATGAAGTGTAGAACACAGGCTGCACAATAGGACTACCTCCCCTTCATGAGATGAAACTACTAAGGGAAGTTACTCTATTGGTTCTTAAAATCATATTTCAGGCAGAAACCTGGAATCTAATTTCCTGTAATGTTACCTTAATCACCCTCGCTGCCATTCTTGGGAAGTGCCCAACACACAAGCACTTTTCCTCTGCAGCAGGAGCAGCGCAGCACATCGGCTACTGCATATCCCAGAAGCTTCTGTGCAAAATGTGATCCCATGCAATGACCTCAGTAGTTAAAGGAAATCATATTTATTCTAATCTCTTCACAGTGAAATTACTCAACACTGAAACACTGCCAGTTTCCACAGTGCTCAAGGATGGACAAAATAGTCTCTGTGACAAAACACAGAGGGATGGAAAAAAACCTAGATTGACAGGGTCCTGACAGATGAAGGAGCTGCCCACTACAGCAAAGTCAGCCCGTGCAGGTCAGGCCACCCCTTTATTCTTCATCTGTCCTAGGAAGGCAGTAGACATGCTTGACTATGCAGCACTTACCGTCATGATGAGCTTCTCAACACAGTCAGGCGACACACTGTGCAGATGGGTGAGGTGCAGCTGCAAATGGATCTTGTTGTTCAGCATGTCCTGGCAGAGCGGGCAGCGGAGCATGGGCTGCACCGAGTGCTGGGTCATGGTGTGCACCCGCAGCCGATTCACGTCTGTGTTACTGTACTTGCAATATGGACACTGATACATCTGCAGAGCAAGACAAATGAATCACGCACTTGACACAGCTGCTGCTTTCCTCTTTCCTTACAGCTAGACTTTAATAATTTGATGCCTTCTCCTACCACCAGTTATCGCCTTTCATCCTCCTTCTCCTATTATATTCTTTGCTTTTGGCACATATGAAACAAATTACCTGATTGTAGATGCTCAAAAAGCTGGGCTCTTCTTCCTTACCTGCTCTGATTTGGTCTCCTCTGAAGTTTTTGACCATTTAAAGGAATGAGGCGACTCAGAGCTGCTGGGAAACGATATTCGTTTAGAGGATGCTGGAGACTCTGTCAGCTCCTTCTCTGCCTGGCTGGCTGTCGCTGCAACAAAACAAGATTTATATCAGGACATCCCCAAAGAGGCTGAAGTTGGACAAAGACAGTACTTCATTTACTGTGCTGTTGTTGCTTCAAACACATACCAAAGACTTGGAGGAGGATGTAGACTAACTTACATCCTACAAAGCATGCCTGGCCAAAATAAATTAATTCTTGACTATCTTTCATAGAAAGGGAGCTGTGTAATTTATAGTTAGAAGCAGAGAAATCTCAGCTATTTCTGTGGGCTGCTTACAACTTGTTAGGTGTTGCCATCCATGGAAAGTCATGTTCTGCATTCACATCAGACACACAAATACTGGGCTGTATGTGAAGGCCAACGTGTCAGCTCCACAAGCAGTTGGACTGACTTGACAAAGCAGAACTCATACTCCTAGCTCACTGAATGCTTTGCATATGAACACTCTATAATATGTTTGCCTTGGAGGTGGCTGGAAGCTGTGGCCGTCAATCCAAGTGAGATGTGGTCTGTGCTGGAAGCAGCGGCACATGGCCAGGGAATGGCACACAACTGAAGGTCCCACCAAAACCATGGTGGCAGAGACCCAGCCTACAGCCAGTGCTGGGGTGGGACTGGGACATCCTCACACTGTAACAAGCTGAAGGGATTTTGTTTCACCAAAACACAAAAGGCAAATGAGCACAGAAGTCAACAGCAAAGCCCTTGGCAGGTTGTGGCGCTCTGAGAAGCACATCCCTGACCTTTACTCCTCCCCCGAACCCTGGCAGCCTGCAGTACATAAATTTGTGGGACATCTATTATTTAAAAACTGTAAGGACAAGTATATTATACACAGCCCCCGTCTCCTCCTCCCTGAACACACATTCATAACAGTACTTTAATCTGTCTCGAATCGACTTCAAACCCATTTCGCCCTTAATGGGAGTTATTCATTTTCACTTGAAAGGTAATATATGACAGCTGGATATTTAATATGATGGATCGGCTGCCGATTAACAAGGCATTGTAGCATTCTTAGACCAGTCCCCCCATAGTCTTCCTCTTCTCTCTTCTTCTCTTTGTGCACCCACTGGTATCCGCTCTGTCTTTCAGAAGATGCTGCCAGAGTAAGATACAGGCAAACTGCTTCCTTCTCAAACCCTCCATCCACTGGCAGAAGCTGTATTTCAAAAGGCACCACATCACAGGAAGAACTCCTCATTTCTAACCACCTTCCCTGCCAGACCCTAACTCTAAGTGTTCAGCTAAATAGAGGCAACGTAACTTCCAGGAGATGGAAAATAGGTATTGCAAAAGATAACAATACTGCCAGAGGGAGGCAGGGATTAGAGGAGCTTGGTACTACTGACTGTCTCCTGGTAGACTTGGCCTTGCCAAAGCCTACTTAGAGGCGGTTTCCTTCCCTGCAGTGTTGCCCTGCCATGTGCCAGCTGTTTCAGCCCTGGCTGATTCCGAGCCTCGAAGCACCATGTAAAGTTCTAGGCTGTACCTGACTCCAAACCCACAGGAGACCTCCGTGCTTCCCACGCCACAAAAATGTCCAAACAGAGAGTTTCATTGCGTAGAACGCGTCTGTGGTGGGCCAGCTTATGGACACCAACACAGAATGATAGGCTGCTTCTCCGGTCAACCCACTACTTGAACCCCACACCCTCCCTGGGGTTCAGGACTGGAAAGTCATTACAGATGACTTTTGGTCCTGCAGGACCAAAGCTGGCCTTCATTGCTTCCTACTAATAAAATGTGGCTGGAGCAAAAGAAACTTGGAAGCACCGCGGACCTGCCCGTGCTGCTCCTCTGCTGAGGAAAGCAGTTCCTCCGGGTGGGTTTGGGGAGGTGGAGGCCACGACCGGAGCCAGCACTGTGGCAGGCGGAGGAATACCCTGCCTTAAAACACCCTTAACACACAGAGCCCTGTGTGGTGTGAGTGGTCCCGTAGCTACTGGACACTAGCTGTAACCCCTGGAGTCACAACAGGGCATTTCCTTATTTCCTTTCTACTGGAAAGTAGCCTGCTTAGAATTAGGGCAAAGTAAAAGTAATGAAAATTTTCTTTTACTTACCATCTCCAAAGTGCCCAGTTTTATTAAATGCACTTGATCCAACCCATAACTTTAATCTTTCAAACTCAGAATTGTTAATGATTGTCCAGACCCCAGAATAAATGCTCTGCTGCAGAGTTCTGAAAAACGTATGTGGAATATTTGTTCTAAGCATTTTTTTTAATTTGACAGCTCAAGTGGGAATTCTAACACCGAGACCGAAGTTTATCACTGATAAACAGCCACACACAACGTGACACATTCAGTCCATGTCACAGATCATAGGAATTCAGAACTCTTCTGCCTGCAGAAAAGAGGGCACTGCACGGCACTCCCAGCTCCCAGCAGCCAGGTCCTTCATCTGCACCGAGGGGACGGGACAGAATGTCCTTGGCTGATAATGTCAAAGGAGCCTCGGTGCTGACTGGCAGCTCAGCACCAGGGAAGGTGGAGCCCAGTGTCTGCACCCTAACCATATCCAGCATCAGGCTTAGAGGTCCAGGCCTTGCAGAAAATAAAAGGGATCAGGGTTTAAAGTATGATGTACAACTATGTACCAGTATTTTTACTGTTTTGACTCTTTAAATGGATTTAGTTCAGATTTGCTGACCTTAGAGAAAAATCTGCATTTCTCAATAAATGTACCCGAAAGCCAAGTGCAATCAGACAGTGCTGCTGCAGGCACTGCCCTGCCACAGCACTGCTTGGAGACCTGGTTGTCTTCCCACTCTACCTCAGCAACTTCTGCTTTTCAGAGGAGAAATCCTCTGGGCGTTATTTCAGAGGTGGGATGGGATGCTCCCTTGGAAGTGGGGATCCTTTCTTTTGCTAGGTCTAGAGGCAAAACCGGCAAAAGACCCCAAAGCTGCTTGCTCTCCATCCTGGTGGGAAGGGAGTTGCCACCCCACCTCCCAACCATCAGGTTCTTTTAGCTAAAGTACCACTGACAGCCCCTTCATCTAAACTTCCATCTCCCAACCCAGCAACATAATGGAAAAGCCAATTAAATGATTATTAATTCATGCTGCTTTCCGTAAGCCAGAGGTTCTCATCTCTCTGCATTCCGTAAACCAGCTTGCCACTTGCCCTAGAAATTTACAGCAGGGTTTCTGCTATCTCCATTGATTTAAGAAACACCACCCTCCCTGCCCCCAGCCTGCTGACAAACTCCTTCCTACCAAGTTCAGCAGCCAGCCTGGGAAAAAGTTTCTGTGGGACCAGGGAACTGTGCTTTCAGTGCCTGACGGAAAGCAAAATTCCATATTTGGTGGTGCCTCCCTCCTCAACCTCCCCTGATGTTTTCTTGGAGCAATTACCCAGCACCGCAAGCCCATGGACCAGCCCAACTTGCCTTGCAGAGTGCTGTGGCTGGAAATACCCCAATGGAAGCCGTCCCGCTGCATGGATCTCACGGAGGAGCATCCTCCAAGGGCTGTGGCTCTCCTTCTGAATTCTGCGACTGAAGCGTCCCGTTTTGTCTGCTTTCAGGCACAGACAGCCCTCACCCGTGTGATGGGCAAGGTCAGAACTCCCCGTGCAGTTCCATCAACAGCAGCTTAGGAGCCCAGGACAAGGGCGTACAAAGTTCAGTGCCAGCCTCCCTGGCAGACAGTTGCTATCCCGCAGAAACACACAATTTGTATTAACAGAGCAAGAAGGTGATGCCACCGAGAGACCACAGTGACTGCCCGGAGCCCTGATCAAGCCTCCCCGAAAGGGCTGCTGCAGTGCTGCCCGTTTGTTATCCCGTGTCTTGAAATATATGGTTTCATTCTGAAACATTGTTTACATTCCCTATTCCCTGAAGGTACCATTTGTTCTAATAAGATGTTGTAGCCATACTAACAGGCCTGTATATTGCCTCTTGCTCTACAGTATTTTTTCAACTCTGTATTTGATAAATAACACGATCACATGATAGGCAGAAGTAAATACACAGAGACTTGCAAGCACACTTGTACCCAGGCCTTTTCCACCACCTTTCAGAGATGTGGCCCTGAAAACAGTCAAATAATTTGTTTTTCTAATGCTGTGTCATACCTTCAGCCTGCAGTGAGTATGAACAATTGAGTTACAATTAAATATTCGTATTACAAGCCCCCGGCCACTACCAGACTTTTCTGCCATGCTATGTACAAACACAAAGCACTTAGAAAACCCCATGGTGAAGGTGCCAGGCAGCACAAGGGGCACGTGGAGGCACTGCTTGGCTTGTCATCATGAGTACAACAGGCCTTCCCCACAGCCCTGCAGAACAACCCCTTTTCTGTCAGATCCTGAAAGAGGCCTGGGACCTGCTAGGAGATGCTGCTCCCACTGCAGTGCTCTGGTGCAGTGCTGTGCTGTGAACCAAGAGACAGGGCACCAGGGCAGAGAAAATGACCCATGCAGGGGAGTTGGAAATGGATGATCTTTAAGGTCCCTTCCAACCCAAACCATTCTGTGATTCTATGTATAAAGTTACGGATCAATCCTAAAGGTTCTGAGCATCCCAGCTCTGACCTGGAAGCAGGAGTCAGTGAGTCCCTTCCATGCTGCATGCCGGGACGGGGGCCCAGGCACTCACAGTTATGTGTGTGGCAGTGGCTCTGGCAGCAGCTGACCTGGCACGTAAGTGGCACAGCACCCTGGCAAATACAGCCAAAAAAAACAAGCCTGAACCAAAGCTGGGAGGTTTCCCTGCCCCAGGAGCAACAGCTCCCTCTCTGCTGCTCAGAGACTTGTGCAGGGCAGAGGGAAAGACAGCAGAACATCCCATCTCGTGCCCACCATCACCCTACCTCTACAAAGTGGTACCCTAAAGCACTGTACTTTTTCTTCCAGCAATGGTATCTACGATGGTGTCTTTAGAACCAGGGGAAGTACTGTTTTTTTTTTTTTTAAATTACAAAGTGGCTGCAAGAAAACAAGCAAAAACCTTTATATTAACCTGTTTTTTCTGGGTCTTGAGCCAGTTATCAATCTGTGTGAAAGTTACTGTTCAGTTCAGCTGCATAAATATGTCAACTAACTTACCAAGAGAATAGCGTTACCAGTGTTATCAGCATTATTCTCAGACTAAAGCCAAAGCACAGCACTATATCAGCTACTGGGAAGAACGTTAACTCTATCCCAGCCAAAACCAAGACACCCTTTCTCCAAGGCCTCCTTCACACAGAAGCCAGGGTCGAGAGCTGTTCCATCCCTCAGAACCCACTCTCTCCCTGTCTTTACTGTGCTCCACACAGTATCCCAGCCATTAAGTGCTCAACAAACGCCATACATTAAAAAAACAGAAAAAAGCAGTGGTGGGGGGAGGGGCAGTAATAGATTTCCGTCAGGATGTGCCTGACCTGTTTTTTTCAATTTCAGTAATTAGAAAGGCAGTAGGCCTGTAGGAATTATTCATAAACTGCAGGAGCTGTGCAGTATACATTTATGTTAAACATGTCAAATCCGATTGAAATCTTGCCTGCCAGCACCATACTCCATAAACACACTTTTCTGCAACAATTTCCCAGCTCTCGGCAGCCCATTAATACCTCCTTTAATAGCAATCTACCACGGATTCGAATCAGGGACGCTCCATTGCACTAATTGCTCTGTTAGGTAAGCATCATGGATTTAAAAAAAAAAAAAAAATCATTAAAAAAATAAAAGGCCTTCAGGCTAGTCCTCTAGAAAGATTTCATTTCAATCTATATTTTAAGTAGAGTCTGCTTCTTGTTTTTGTGGAAAAAAAAACCCAACCCTGATATTCTACATCTATACAACTGGCAGTGCATTAAGAAAGTCCCTTTCATAGCTGGGTCACTTCGGATGAAGCACTTCCCTCTAGTCAGAAAACACATACAAGCCCCACCCGAAATCTCTGAAGTCTCTTACTGATCTACCCCCGCTCTGATTCAGGCTTTAGCTAGAAACCAGGGTGTTGAATATTCATCATTCACATCCTGCCTCAAAAATGGAGTCAGGAATAGCCACGATTTCTTTCTTCCTTGCTGGTTTTCTTGTGATAAATCTCACATTAGTCACAATGAGCTAATTTCTAAATAGCTCAGCCATGAGGCAAAGAGCATCTCCCTTCTGCATAGAGGGGACGCCTCTGGAGTAGAGAGAGGGAAGCTGGCAGGGCAGAGGCAGCCCCAGTGCACCCATCAGCACTTGGGAGCTGCTTAGTCCCGCTGCTGGAGAGAGAGGAAAGAGAGAAAACAAACAGGTCCTGTCTAGGAACAGGGATCACAACTCTTTCCTCTCCATGCAGTACTTAGGAGTCACAGAGGAGTGGTGGTGCCTGGAAGCACGGCTGGCTGTGGGAGGCGAGGGGAGCAGCAGGAGCACTGCAGAAAGCAGACAGCACTGCTGCATTCCAGAAACCTTTGAGGAGTCACAAAGACTTATATGAAAATCAAGGTAAATTGAATCCCTATTTGGGATGGTGTTTTCCACATGCATATTTTAATGGAGAGCATTGCCTAAGGAAATGTTCTGCTTAAAATTATTCCATTTTAAAATAAACAAAATCTAACTGATAGATTTATTTGGCAGCTGAGACTTTCTGAAAAACATAGCATGGAAACAGAGAAGTTTTTCCTTCCAGAGCTGACACTGACACAGGCACAGTCTGACATATGTGGGCCTATGAACCACAGAGCAGCCAAACAGCTGTGATACATCACTGCTGGCCCTGGGCAGAGGGAGCCTGGGACACGCTCAATGTGTCCTCAGAGGTCTCACAGTCCTTAAGAAAGGGGAAGCAACAACCACCCAGTGCACAGTCAAGAAACTGAGGCACAAAAGGTGAGTAAATTGCTATGGACCGTAATGATCACACTGCATCATGATGAACAGAAAGCAGGTCTATCCACCTCCACTTCAACACAATTACTGACTTGGCGCCCGCACTTCTTTCTTGCCTATCTCCCACTTGTATGGAATTGCCTGGCACCTCCAAATGTCACCCAGTCTACCCAAAGCAGGATAAGCTATGCCTACTTCATTCCTGACAGCAGCTCATCTCATTGCACCTTCCTGAAAGATCTCTGAGGACCTTTCTCAGACAACCTACTCCAGTGATTTCACATGCTGTATCAGGAGATTTTGGTTTTAATTTATTACCTAACCTCAATCTTTCTCCCTTCAATGTAAGCCCATTGCTTCTTGTTGTCTATATCCTGAACATGAAGAACAAATAATTTCTTACTTTCAGAAGTATTTTATGCACAAGGAGACTTATTTTGCCCTCCCCTTTGGTCTTCTCTTTCTGGGCCAAATAAGCCCATTAATTCCACGTTCTCCTCACAGCTGATGCTATGCAGACCACACTCTGTTCTGGGTCATTCTTCCTGTTTGGGCTTTCTGAATTTGTTCCTCAACTTTCTTGACATCCCAAGCTCAGAAATGGACAGCTTTCCAGTGCTGAAGAAATGCACCTACCACACAGTATTTTCACCTACATCACAATGCCTATGCCTTGTTTTCAGACTGTCCTGAAAAACAGAGTCAAAAGTCTTCCAAAAAAAAAGCAAGATACTGACTGCAAAGAGGACTCTCTTCACACAGAAGGAAATTGGGTCGCGTTGACATGATTTGTTCTTGACAAATCCGTGACGACTGTTCCTCATCTCATTATCTTCCCGTCAGTACTTACAAACAGTTGTTTGGTCAATTCCCAGGGAAATCTGGGGCAATCGGAGCTGGCAGGTGTGTGGTTCCCCAGCTATGCAGTAGATAAGCTCCATCCCTGGCCCCTCGCGGGACCTCCCCTGTTCTCTGTGAATTCACCAGCGGCAGCAGCTGACAGGTCTGAGGATGCTTCAGTTGCATTCCCAGAGCACCCAGGTATGAAGCAGCAGGTCACTGATGTGTCAACACTCAGCTTAACTAAAGGCTCTGAAGCTTGTTCCTTCCCAGCTGGGGGACAAGCTTTCCCCGCAGCACCACTGACGTGGGCTGCTCTGGCCTCTCACACACTTCTCTGTTTAGTGAGCACGAACGCAATGGCTTTCTGCTCTTCAGGGCTCCTGACACTGTGGTTGATCGCCTTCCTGCTCCTCTGAGCTGCAGACCAGCTCTTTTCTTGCAGTACAGCAAGGGAGTGCTGTCCTGGTGCTGCCTGTTCCCTCCCTGCTTACATCTCAGTTTGTACCATGGTGTTTTGATATTCCTGTACATGCAGACACTGATCTTCTGTGGTTGTCATGAATAACCTGACCTAGTTTCCAGTCCTTTCCATGTCTGAGGTCTAGAAGGCAACACGGCCATGTTCCCCAAGGGATCTCAAAAGCAGAAACAATACAAGACCAATGTGTAGTACCTGCTTCTCTGTACACAAACATGATTAACTTTTTTTTTTTTTGCTTTAAAATTCAGAGTAATGTTACATGATTGAAAGCAGAACCCAAATTCAACAACATCATGTGCACACATCTTGCTCAGACTGTACTCTTCAGCCTTGCAACAGAGTTGGACAAGGCTTGTCCAGAAATCTTTGGGCTTATGTACATAGTCTGCATATTCCTTTGTGTTGCTTTCCTTTGAAAACTTGATGAAGCTGTCCATTTCTTATCTGTTGTTTGACTGACAAACACCAAAAATGGGTTAGGAATGTCCCTGGCAGGATGGAAAAGTAAAACCATCTAGATAGTAAAGGGTATAAAAAGGTCCTTCAATTCTTTCTTACGTGTTTTAATATATAAAAATTAATATATTCTCACATGGATCAGCTTTTGGAAGTGCTTCAGGATTCGGCAAAGGGCCCTACTTATCCTTACTGAGCACTTGCGGGGAGTGACATACAACCTCAGCGAGTGCAGTCTAGACTGAAAACAGGAGCTTCACCAAGCATTAAAGCAGAGCTTGCTTTCTTCACCAGTTTGGACACATCTTCCAATTGACTGAAACTGAGACAGGTTGAGATTAAAACTGTGTTGAGGTGAAAGACCACATTTCATCCTTCTGAAGACTGTGCTAGCCAAAATACCTCTTTGGCTGTGGCTCACCAAGAGGCAACCACAAACATGTTAGGAGATGGCTGCCTGGAAGAAGGGGTCCCTGTGCTGACTGCGAGAAGCATCACATCAGGCAGCCAGGTCTGCAAACTGCTTCGGCTACCATGCAGCAGTGGGGAGTCAGAACTGCTCCATTCTGGGGTGAAGAAAATGGGGACTGGCTCCAGCACCCAACACTGAAGGGGTCAGCAAGCGTCAGCTGACGGAACAGCCCTTTCCATAGAACAATCTTCAGTTGCTCTCTGCTGAAAGGCAAGGAATATTTAAAAGATTCCTCCTGCTTACCTCTGCAAGATACCAACCATCCTCTGGGAAAGACAGATACCCAATACCTTCGTAATTAACCCAACGAAGGATTTTGCAGAGAGAAACCTTTCAGACTCCACCTCAACAATGTCAGTTTCAATGCACTTCTACAGTTCCTGTTTCAAGATGTCGTGGCTCCAGCAGAACGTGAGCAGTTAACAGAGCACAGACACAGGGTCTACCTCTCTGCACTGCCCTTCTGTGTCAAAATCTCACTACCAGAGGCAGGACTGTGATGAAAAAGCAGGCTAATAGTCTCTCAAGTCTTGACAACACAGGGTAGAGTTTCATGATACGCTTAATCCAACCTAAGTGCTGGCTGCTGCCAGAAAGGACCATCCCCTTCTCCCTGCACCATTCCCAGCTGCTGATCCCACTGCCCGGGTCAGGTCTGGCACCATCAAGCACAGGAAAGCTCTAACCCACTGCCACAGCACAAGCTCAGGGCTGTGAGGGAGGACACATGACCGACCACTGAGTTGGTGGTTGCACCATTTTGTGTGAATGTGTCATAAAATTCACCCAGAGATTTCACAACGCTTGTGTCAGGCTGATAGTGCTGCATGGCACACACACTGAAGGAAAGACTTTTGCAAACCGTGGCTCTTCCCACCTTTATTTCCCAGATTTGAAGAGTGGCCAAAACCCACCTGTCCATTTACTCTGGTCCTTGTCCCCTCCACCCTCCTGGTCCTTGGCAGGCTCTTCAGCATCACCAGATGTTTCATTGGGCCCTTCCACATCTTCAATGGATTCTTCTGCAACAAGAGAAGCAGAAAGTGTAACATGAAAATGGAAGTCAAAACAGAAGAGCAAATAACTGCCATTGAGCAACAGCCAGTGTTTAAGCACAAGTGTTGAGTGGTAGTTATCAATGTCACCCAGCACTCTGCCAACACTCCCTGCTAGCTAGTCAAGAAACTACAGCGGAAAAAGGTGAGAGATGAAGATCCACTTCTGCCACTTACAGCTACTGCGGTGTTATGTACAGTAAAACATTTGCTCAATATGAGAAGGTTCTTCCAACTATGTCGTGGATTAGAGAAGTGTCAAAGATTGACCAGAGCTTCCAGTACCTTCAGCCTCAGCTGCCTTCTTCACACTCATCTCAAGATGTCTGTACTGAAAGGCACTGTGTGGTACTGACCTTGGTCACTGAGACCCCCAAGTTCACCACAGAAACACCACCGCTCACTTCTGCTCAGGCCAAGCAAGGAGCAGCACTGTGTCCTGCAGACATGGCTCTGACATAAGGCATGGGAGGAAGCTGCTGGGGGTCTTGTTTCCATCCCAGTCATGTGAAGAGTTTGAGCACACGGGCAGCATCACACAGGTGGAAAATCATGAAGGGGAAAAAATACTCAGTGACGCACTGAGGGTTTAGAACAAAACACAAAGTGCTACCACCCCACCATTAACAAGAGCACCCATGTGCTGAGGCACAGAGCGTGTCGACACAGCATGGGCTGCTCCTCACCACATGGGATACTGGGAGCGAGGTGGCTGCAGCTGCCAGACCTTGTATACCAGGGTCCAACACTGAATTATCATCAAATACCTTGGGTATTTATGAACAGTGCAGCAGCTCGGCAACTACCACACCATTGATGGGGGCTACATCAGCACTGAGAAGAAGAGTACTTTTTAAGCAATTATATCCTCTTTTTGCAGGAGAGTTTATAATTTTAACTTGCATTATCTGGTCATGGTAAATCCCAGGCTATCCTGAGGTTTTATGTGAACTACCTAACCAGTTAAAGCACCACCTCCAGCCTCCCCCTAACAAAGACAGGGCTAGAAATCAGGATTAGAAATGTGTATTCGGAGACTGCAGATGCTCAGCAGTGTCCTTTGAGAATGTGACAACCTAAATCAGGGAGGAACTTGTAAAAGCACCCAGAGACCAGCACTGACATTAAGTGGAATACTGTAATTTACACTCTACCTCTCTTTCACTCTGCTAAAAGATGGAAGCTGTTGGTAGCTGCAGCGATCCCCAATGGTCTTCTCCTGGGAAAGCATGACCCCAGGGCAAGAAGTGCAATGGGTGGCATCGCTACGCAAAGGCACAAATTGCTGCTGCAGGGGTGTGATTAGTGTCTGCCCTGTGAGACCAGCGCTCAGGTTTGCTCAGAGAAGGGCTGTGAAAGCAGCAGCTGCATTCACATTTCAGAAATTAAAATTCCAGTATTTTTTAATTCCACTGCAGGGAAAAACCCCACAAACTGCTCAACCTAACCTAACCCAGCCCAACCACCCCGGCCAGCCTGGGGAGCAGGCACTGCTCTGGGCTGGGTACGCCCCCCTCCTGTCCCTCAACCCGGAGCCCCTCAAACAACAAAGGGTGCCCGGCACGGCGGCACTCCCGGCTGTGACCCGGAGGTGTCAGCACTGGCATGGGAGGAAGGGTGAGCCCGCGGCCGCTCAGACGCTGTCTGGGCTCTAACCTGAGCATGTGGAAATAATATACATCTTCAAGTGCACTGTCTGGTTTGAGGGGAATAAAATAGGACATTCATAAGCAGTTACACCATCTGTCTTTATACCATCATCATCATCAACAACGGAAAAAACAGCTCTTTAAAATGGATGAAAGCCCAGGCTGACAGTAACAGGAAAAATGTGAGCTATGAATACCAATAACAGCAGAAAATGATTAAAAAACAAGGCTACGAACAGCAAACGCTCCTGCCCGCAGCCCCTCCTGCTCTCAGGCACAGCTCAGCCCTCCACAGCCCCTCACACCGAGCAGCCACTGCACCCCGAGCCAGGACACGGCTTCCCACTGAAGACGAGATCTGCCTCCCAGGCTCCAACACCTCTTTGCTGGGATGCAAAAAAGCATCTGCATGCTTCAAACCTCCTCCTCCTCTCTCTGCTCTGAGCTGATTGTTTCTGACGAGTGTTTCTGTTAAAGTGAGCAGAGCACAAGACACATCTGCCCAGGGAGGCTCCGAATCAGCTGGGAAAGGTCCCTATGTGTCTCCTTGCTCCCAGGGCCTTTGCTGAGGACAACCCTCCTCTCTCTGCAGCACACCCTGGGCCCTGGGGATGCAGTGCCTGGCACCGTGAACCAAGGAAGGGGAAGCCTTAACTCCTGGGTGCCTCATTTGGAAGGCTGGGTGCAGCTATGTTCATTGCACTCAGCCCAACTTGGAGCCACCAGTGCTCAGGCTGACCCGAGGGATGGTCAGGAGAGCATCCTCCGCCACACCACAGCTCAGGTGGTCATGTGCACTACGGAGGGCTCTGAACTGCAGACAACCAGTCTCCAGCAGGCTGGATGCAGGGCTCAAGCGTGAAGCCAGCTTGTAACAGTGAGATCCTTCAATACTGAAAACAAAATGCAGAACAGGATTCCTGTTCCCGAGGATCTACACCCATGCTCCCTGATGACAGCTCTGCAAGTGGCAGCTCCAAATGCACTGGCAGGTCTGGGTAGCAAACACATGCATGGGTGGCACCCAACCTCTGGTATTTCCTGGGGGCACCCTTCTGAGAGGACGAGGCCAGCATCACATCTGGTAGGGAAAGGTCTGCTTTTCTCCTCAATGAACTGCACATGCAACAAAGAGCTCCTGAGCTTCCCTTTTCATTGCCTGCAAGTCCCATTGTTGAGATGTTCCCATCCTGCAGCCCAGAGCTGACCACCAGCTTCCTTAACATCCACAGCACCCAGAGCACAAACTGCAGCTGGTGTGGAGACCACCTCATGGCCAGCTCCCAGAGGCTGAACGAAGCTGTGGTCAGCAAGATGTAGGCAATTTATCTACAAACCACCGTGACCCTTTTGTAACTGTTCGACCGTACCTCCTTGAGGCTGTACACACTATTAGGACACATTCACCTAACCTCCTGACTGTATTTTACTTAACAAGATGGATAAAATCACCAGTCCATTTGTAGTTACAATAGTACTCAGCTTAAACTCGTGCATCCTAACAAGTGTCCCTGTTGGGGCTGATATCCAAAGGGCAAGAAGTCCCTGCAGCATGTTGGCAGTATAATAGGAGTCTCTGCCAGACAAGGACCAGGAATTTCAGAGACTGTAGTGGGGAGGCTGAACCTGGAGATGTGGAGCTCTGCCATAGGAGATGGCTTGTAAGAGGACATGGGTTTGACTTCTAACCTGGGAACCTTAGTAAGGGGCTCTGGAAGGCCAGAGATGCTACTGCAGGTGTCAGACTGGTGTCTTTGGTTTCCAGAAACTCCAGCTTCACAGCTCAGGAAGGATAAATGGACTCCACCCTCTGAAGGGAGCTCACCAGGGGAGGTGCAAGAGCTGCTGCTGTGAGAGTTGCATGGGGGATATCATGTCCCACTGAAATACAAAAAACACAATCTACACACAGGCCCCTGTGCCTGAGTGCCATCCACGAGGCCATAATGCTTTACAAATAAATTTACTTAAAGGAATTTTCCAGCTGCTGGGATTGAGGTCAATACCAAGAGCAAGCAAGTGTAACCGGGCACCTGAGTCCAAGGAGCTTGTTCTTACATCGTACCAAATCCGCTCCATGCAAAATTCTACAAAGAGTCTTTTCTTCCTTCATGAATAAATAATTTTAGACAGTGGTATTTCCTTTTAATTTAAAATTAAACCATTCACTGGGGAAGGGCGATGGGGGAAGGGGAATAAGAGTCTGGAAAATCATGGGTACTGACATCTGGAGATGCCAGGGAATCTCTGACTCAGTTATACACTGAAAATGTGCCCGAATCCCCACCAGACCATGCTGCTGCAATGCTGCCACTTTCAAAGCCCAGGAAGTTTGAGGGTTGAAGAAATCTGCAAACCTCAATTGGATCCAGGTCAGCTTGAACAGCCCAAGACCTCTCATCTCTCCTTCTCTTAGATGGATTTTCCTTCATAAACCCAGCTCTCTCATCCAAAGGGATAAGGGGCATTTCAGAGGTGGCGGAAATGTAGGGATGGAAGGGAAAGAGCGTGCACTGCCTCTCCACCCTCCGGCAGGCTCAAGAGCTGAGAAACATTAGCTGTCATGAACCACAATCAAATCAGGTTTGAAATATTTAGCAGTGGCTTGGAAAATGCGGTGCTGCAGCTCTGACAGGCGAGATGTGCAGACACCCATTTTCCATTATAATGGAAATATCAAGCCTGTTCTGAATATGTATAACCTAGAAAAATGTATTGATTTTTCATTTGGCATTAAAAAAATGAAATACCCTGCAGCTGTCAAAAGCCTTTTGTTAAAAGCTCATCTTTCCTGGAATGAGGTTTACCAGAAACAAGTTTTAATTGTACACAGGGTCTCTCCTTTGAAACAGAAAGAATGCCTTATGCTCCCCTTTTCAGGATAAGTAGTTAAGAAAGCCCACAGACAGACAGGATTGAGACCTGGGTGACTTGAGCAAGCTGACGCTGTCAGGGGAGGTGACAGCCTGTGTGCAGTTGGCTGCACATGCACAGACACGCGTGTGGCACTGCCAGGAGCTGCTGCTGGTGAGGGGCTGCATCGTGCTGGTGCGGGGTCACAGCACTGCTCCATGGCCCAGCCTGTTGCACAAGTTCAACTGCTCCAAACTACTTAGAATATGAAGTCCCAGGGCCCTGGGAGGAGATGTGCTGTGGTCTGGGTCCTTGTGGGAGCAGGGTGGGGGGCTTCGGGTGGTCCATGGGGGTTTGATGCCTTCCTAGGCCCTGGGAAAGCCACAGGGAGCTCAAACTGCTGGTAATGATTGTTGAGGGCTCCAGTTGCACAGCCAGAGGCACGGTTCTTGCTGGGGGCACACA